GGTAGTATGGGAGGGTTTCTTCTAAAGTCTACCACCATTTCTACGGTTTTGAGTGTGTTCAGTCCCAGATTGTTCCGGTTACACCACGAGGCAAGTTGTATAACCTCCTGTCTGCATGCAGATTCATCCTTGTCTCGAATGAGACGAATCACTGTTGTGTCATCAGCAAACTTCAGTATTTTAACAGATGGATCGTTTGAGATGCAGTCATTGGTATATAGGGAGAAGAGGAGATAGCACACGGCCTTGGGGGGCCCCTGTGCTGATTGTACAGGTATCGGATGTGATTCTGCCTAGCTTCACCTGCTGCTTCCTGTCTGTCAGGAAGCTCATGATCCACTTACAAGTGTGTTCAGGTACCGCTAGTTGGTTTAATTTACTTAGAAGAGTGTCTGGAATGATGGTATTGAATACTGAACTGAAGTCTACAAAGAGTTACTCAAAGGGGTGCACCAAAGCCCCCTCCCAAGCCGAGTTCGACTGGCTTTTTCCCTCTTTCCGGATCTTGTCTAGATCAGCTGTTGCCCGGTAACCAGGTGGGTTTCTGCTGGTCTTCCCCAACCTAAATCGCTCTGTTGGCTGAGGAATTGTGGGAGTTGAAGTCCACAAGTCTTAAAGTTCCCAAGTCCAACCACGCTGCCAGCACTCAAACCAAACACCCCCCCCATCAAATCTTCTTAGGCCCCTCCCTCCCATGAAGGCCAGCCCTGCGCAGCTGACGTCATCCACGACGCCTCCCGGGGCTCCTCCCTGCGTTCACCAAGCTCTCCTAGCAACGGGACGCCTTCGGTATCACGCGCGGCTGGGTGGTGGGGGGGGAAAGGGAGGGAAAGGAGGAAGAGTGGGGGCGGGGTCATCCGAGGGACGCCCTCCAATCCGCGGCGGACAAATCAGCGGCAGGGACACACATTGCGCGCGCTTTGGGGCTCTGTCGCTCGTTTCTTTCCGCGAGGTGGGTTGCGCGCGCCAAGGGCCCCGCCCCTGGAGGGCTGGGCGGTGCGGTGGGGGGGGGAGCGGGAGGGAGCGAAAGCTTCGTCTCGTTCCTGGTGCTTAAACGCGCCTGCGCCGCCGTCTCTTGTTTCCGCCGGTCTGGCAGCAGCTGAGGCGGCGCCGGGGAAAGCTACAACAGCGGCAGCAGCAGCAGCAGCAGAGGAAGGAGTGGCAGGAGTGGAACGGCAGCGAGCGAGCCACCCCCCCACCCCCCAAAAAAATAAGGGCGCGGAGGGATGTGCGAACCTAGCAAGCACGATTTGGTGACTGTCTTCAAGCGGCTCCGCACCGTCCCCACGAACAAGGTAGGCAGGCAGGCAGGCAAAGGAAGCGCGCGTCAGGCTTCCGAGTGACACGTTGCAAGGCGGCGAGAGGCGGAGCGAGTGCGGTTGTGTGTGTGTGTGTGTGGTGGGGCCGGGAAGCCCAGCGTGTTTATCCTGAGGGGGTTGTGGGGGGATTGAGGGGTGGCGGGCATGGGTGCGGGGTGGGGGGCGAAGATCTCTAGGAAACCTGAAGGTGGGAGATTGCTGAGAGACATCCCCGAAGAAGGCAGTTTGTTCCCAGAGGTTTTGCCTGGATGGTTTCATCCATTGACAGAATTGACTGGGGAGTGTGGGGAGGAATATATTTTAAGGCAAAAATATTTTAAGGATTTTGGTGGTTGTTGGTACTATGGGAGAATACTTTACAGCATACGTGAATCTTTAGTAGCCATATGATTTTTGAGTAACATTAATGTTCACCTCCTCTGTGCTGGAATCTAAGTTCAAAGTTCTCTTTGTGAATTCCAGTGTGGAATATATATATATAAAAGCGAAATACCACTGATGCGTCATCACAAAATCTCCAGGACCGTAAAGCCTGCAAACTTGAAATTTGGCACATGTGTTCCTCTTGGCTTCTAGGTGCTCACTAAGAAAGGATTTTTCGAAATGACCATCAGAGCATTATTATTTCATTTATTATTATTATTATTAACACACACTGATGCTGAGTTCTACTCTCCCTCCCCACCTGAAAATAAATCTGTTCTAAATGCAAAACACAAGCAGGGGAGAGGAGTTTCAGTTTTAGTTTCACAGCACCAAGCAGCTTTAGTACAGAACAGTTGAGCTAAGCCATGCCCAGGCTCCTTGCTGTCTCCTTGCTCACACAGAAAATACTGCTTCAGTTTCCAAACAGCCCTCAACTCTCTCACACGCTGATGGATGCTGGTAGGCAGAGGCAGAATTTCCCCCGCCCCTTATTTTCCTCCCCAAAAAGGTACCCGATCACATCGTTTCGTAACAAAGCATGGGTACCCTGCTAGTAGAGTTAATATTTAGATAGGGCTGTAGGAAATCATAGACTTGGAAATTGGGGGGAAAAAACCCCAAAATCTGGGAAGGCATTGGAGCTAACCACTTCTCTAGCACTACCATGAGAACGATAGGGAGGTATCCACAAAGCCCTTCAAGTACCATTAGATTGCCTTTCTGCAAATAAAGGTACAGGTTTGGGTGTTGAACTTGGGAGAGGCAAGATCAAATCCTCATTCAGGTGGAAGACTTTAAGCTGCTCTCTGCACCTTGTAGGTATGAACATATTGGTGCCATCCCCACTCATGTCCTCCAAGCACATTGTATGGTAATAATGCTGAGACTTGGATCATGCCTGCTATTTCAGTTGCATCTAAAGGGAAATTTTACTCAGCTAGGTGAAGAAAATATTTCAATAAAATCACCGTAGCAAACTGGCTCCAGCTTCTGCAAGAGTGTGGACTTGAACCTGGATCTCTCGTAGTCTGAAGTCTCGGCTATTGTGTCACAATGGTTTCCCCATAATTACTAAATCTCGTGCACTTTCCAGAATAGATTTACACAGCTTCAGTATTGGATTTAAAAACAAACAAACACCCAGAGACTTCCTGGCATAGATATCTTATTTTATCCCTCAGGAGTGTTGCACCTAAACTCCAGTCCTGTTCATTCCTGGCCCTAGTGTATATTGTGGGATGCTGGCATCATTTGACAGTCTCACATTCTAGCCAGTGTTCATTTGCAAGCAATCACCTAAGGTAATTATATACTCATGAGAACATGCTGTTTTTTTCTGATCTTTCCCTGGCTTGAAGATATTCAAGGCAAAAATATTTTAAGGATTTTGGTTGTTGTTGGTACTATGGGAGAATACTTTACAGCATATGTGAATCTTTAGTAGCCATATGGTTTTTGAGTAACATTAATGTTCACCTCCTCTGTGCTGGAATCCAAGTTCAAAGTTCTCTTTGTGGATTCCAGTGGCATATGTTTACATCACTGTGTGGAATGCAGTCTTTAATCTTAAGATAGAAGTTGATGAGTTGACTGAAAATGGATTTTCAGTGTATATGTGTCCAAACAGTTGCTTTCGCAATGCACGCCTCAGTCCCATTTTATCTTAAGGTATTTCTGTTTGCTTCTGAATATTTAGACAGAAATTAATTTTATTAGATTATTAAAGTATCAAATAATTATATCCCCTTGTATTCTATGAAAATAATTTTGAAGCAGCACACTCATTTGAGAGTGTTTCAGAATTTTTTTCCCAATAATTAAGCAAAGTACTAAATGCTGTATATGAATCAAGTTCGTATGAATATAATGCCATCTTTAAATGAAGAAATAAAGGGCAGCAGCTAGCAGAGCAAATCAATTTATTTAGTTGAATGAGTTCTTAATTAAGCATTGAACAGAATTTTAATGCAAATGTGGATACATTAGATTCTGAGACCAAGGTTATTTTATGCAAGTTGGTTTGGGAACGAGGTATAGGGGCTATAGTAATAGGGAACATTTGGGATTCAAATGTTCATTGTTGCTCTCAAAGAAATGCCAGCAAATAAAGACCGGGGAAGTACGCAGGATCAAACCAAAAGCCTCTGAGGTTTTTTTGTCTTCTAAATTCATAGTGATCAATCAACTGCCTATGGAGAGCTGAGAAATAGAAAAAACATGCTTATTTTATGGAAGATACTCTGATTAGGTTCTTTAAATAGTATCTTATATAAAAGTAGTATCTTCTTACATTCAAATGCAATTCCAAATGAATCTATTACATGTCGTTATCTGGGCCACAGTACAAAAATGATCAGGCACTAACTGTTTGAAGAATTATTTAACTTCCCATTAGCTTACAGCCTTGAGATCTGTGATGGTCTTGTGTCCAAGAGCTAATCAGGTTTACCCTGCTTTGCTTTTTGAAGTAATCCAAGGTCTGTAAAGGCTTCCTGTTCTGTGCCATTTTAATGTTGGTTGAAACATATGTTCATATGCAGTTATTGGAAAGTAAGAACAGCTAGCATGATGCAGCAGTGTATCTAAGTCCATATGTTGTTTTACCATAATCCTATTTTGTGTATGTTCAGGTAGTGCTTGACTTACAACAGTTCATTTAGGGACTGTTCAAAATTACAATGGCATTGAAAAAAGTGACTTATGACTTTTTCACACTTAAGACCATTGCAGCATCCCCATAGTCATGTCATCAAAATTCAGGCACTATTTATGACAGCTGCAGTGTTCTGGGGTCCTGTAATCCCCTTTTGTGATCTTCTGACAAGCAAAGTCAATGGGGAAGCCAGATTCACTTAACAACCATGTTTAACAACTGCAGTGATTCACTTAACTGTGGCAAGAAAGGTCATAAAATGGGCAAAATTCACTTAACAAATGTTCACTTAGCACCAGAAATTTTAGGATCAATTATGGTAGTAAGTGGAGGACTTACCTATATTACTATAGTCATTATATCCATTATAAGTTAGTGGGAACTCAATGCAGCCCAAATAATTTTGGGTATACTTTTCATTTTTTTTCTGACCTGCAGTCTAATTATCAGAGAGATACATAATTTACTGGAGAAATCTTGCAGTTAATCATGGTGGTTAATTAACTTCTTGCCTTCCCTGAAATTTCAAGTCATTGTTTGAATACTTTAGAATTATTTCTCTTGCAAACAACATAGGAATATGTTAGGTTTGTTATTGTATTTATTGATTTGCAAACATTTATGTCTGTATCTGTATCCATCTATCTGTGCACCTGTTAGGAATTTCTAAGAGATGCAATATCAGAAATACATGCCACTTGAATTATATAGATAGCCCTTGTTTCATTAACTGAAACTGCTTAACACCTGATTTCAGCTTTGCTTTGCAGACCTTTACAGAAGGTTGTAAATTTGAAGATTGGTCTTAACGTTACTTTTTCATCACTATCATAGCTTCAAATGGTCACTAAACAAGGCAATCATTAAATAAGGGCTACCTGTATATGTTCGGTTAAGTTACAAATATTTTAAATATCAGATTTAAATATTTTAAATGTCAAATCTTAGATGTCAGATTTTAGTATTTCTGTTACTTCCCTTACCTCATTATGCAATAGAAACAACCCTGTAGGTAGGTTAATCAGTTGGTTCACTTAATACATTAAGTGTTTCATATTGTTTAAAAAATCTTAGTGGACCAAGAGTCTTGTAGCATCTTTCCCAGCATTCAAAAGCTTATAGTATTTTAATAAAACTTGTTAGTTGGAAAAGGTGCTACAAGACTCCTGATTTTATGCCACCATAGGCAAACGGGGCATTCCTGTAGTGGTCTACATCCAGTCTGTTAAACTTTCTTATCCTTGATTTTATTTGGACTTAACTACCATTATAGAAATTGAATGAATGAATGCAAATGAATAAATAAATAACTTTCAGTTAGACCTAAGTTCCATTTATTTGATCTGAATTCTTAAAAATAACATTTCGCTAATGTTACCTAAGTAGCAGCTAAATTGATGAGTGATATTTGCATTCTGTGTGCATTTTGCAGATCATACTTATTTAGGAGACAAAAGTATGCTGGGTAATAATAACAATTAAATTGTGGCTGTTTTCTAGATATGTTTTGACTGTGGAGCAAAAAATCCAAGCTGGGCCAGCATAACATATGGAGTTTTCCTCTGTATTGACTGCTCTGGGACTCATCGCTCACTTGGAGTTCACTTGAGTTTCATTCGGTAAGCAATTCATTTAGTAATGCATGTGGTTCATTCTTGGGGGATATTTTCCTTAGTTTTTGTATCTATATGTACATATATATTTCCTCATCTTGTAGAAAAGATGCTTCTTGGTTCGAAACTGTCTCTTGTTTCTGTTAGTTGTCTTGATTGTGCACTGATACAAAGTAAGTCGAAATAGTCTGGCACATCTTTCATGAAAGTATATCTTACATGAATTTCAAAATATAGAGTATCAGATGAAAATTTCATTTTCAAGCTAAACTTTGGTTAACATTTAAGCTGATTTTGGTCAGTCTGACATACATGTTTCCCATAGCTTTTGTTTTTCTTCTTAAAATAGTTGCATGATTTGTTAGCTATACTGGTATCTAATATCAATTGTAGCTCTTCTATTATGTCTTAGGGCTTTATGCCTTAACTCTTTTGCAGTTCATCATTTAAAATATCTTCAACTTTACTGTGAGTATTGTTCTGCAGATCTGATAAAGAACAATCCTATACTCATTTCCAACTAAAATGGATGAAGGTTATATATCAAATAGAGCAGTAGCTTTCCCAAGATTGGCTATTTTTGTTTGACAATCCAACTCCTGTAAAGTTGAATATTGACATACTCATTGGGCGATTGTTCTACACTTGACTATATAGCTTTTAAAATATTTTCAGTAATTCATTGGCTCTCCATCGTTGAACATTATTTCATTTGTTTCTTGTGCCAGTAATTCTTTTTGCATATCTTATATTTTTCCTGGCTCACAGTATTTTCAAAAATCCATGCAACAAGCATTCGGAAGGAGATGCTTGATTCCTTATAGCAATAGCACTTAGACTTATATACCGCTTTATAGTGCTTTATAGCACTCTCTAAGTGGTTTACAGAGTCAGCATAATGTCCCCAACAATTTGGGTCCTCATTTTACCCACCTCGGAAGGATGGAAGGCTGAGTCAACCTTGAGCCTGGTGAGATTTGCAATAAGCAGAAGTAAAAATTTTTTCCTCCCAAATCCTTAACCCAGGGGTCTTCAAACTTGACAGCTTTAAGACTTATGGATTTCAGCTCCCAGAATTCCTCCTCCAGTCATATTAGCTCAGGAATTCTGGGAGTTGAAGTCCACAAGTCTTAAACTTGCCAAGTTTGAAGACCCTTGCCTTAACCATTCCATATAGAGCTTGATTTCCAGGCTGTTTACCAGCTGGGAAATCCTCTTCTGAACTTGTCCTAATCTGTAATTGTCCTTTTTCAACTATGGTGTTTAGTACTGGACACAGTATTCCAAATAAAATCTGACAAAAGCAAAATGGAGTGGAACCATTTTTTTCTATGATGTGGACTTATATTTCTGTTAATATATGCCGATAGTGGTTGTTTTTAGTAAAAGCATCACACTACTGATTTAATATTAAATTTGTGTTTACAAGGATACCCAGAGCATTACATTTTTCCTATCAAAGATACAGAACTTTAAATTATTTATGTCAAATTCCATTCTACTCCTTTCACTCCAAGCTACTCTAGAACTTCTTGGATCTTGTTTCATGGTTTTTGTTTATTTAACTAAATGGAGTAAAGAAAAATGGTAGAAAAAAGAAAGAAAAAAGAACAAAATAATCACAATATAAATTTTCTTTGTGTATATAAGTATATAGAGTTCTATGTTATTTGTTCGTTCATTAAATTTTTACATCACCCATCTTACTTAAGTGCTTCTGGGTGGTTTTCAAATATCTATATTGCATCGCTACAATGGTTTCAATAAAGAATAACCATATTTCATTATAATAATCTAAACAATTTGCCTTTCCTAATTTTGTGTCATCTATCCTCCTTGACCTTCTCATCTAAAACATTGCTAAAAATATTGACCTAAGTCATTCCACATAAGTTCCTTTTAGGTTGAAGAGTATTCTTAGGTGTGATCATTCACTCATTTATGAGTACATCTAATACTAAGTAGTGCACTTGGCCCATGCTTTATCATTTTATGAAGAAAAATACCTTGAGGCATTATCTTAAAAACTTTGGTATAATCCATATGTATTGTCTTTGATATTCTCCTAATTTACTGATTTAGTAATTCTACCTAAGAAAGATAAGTTGGTTTGGCATGAATTGTTAACTCCAGTTAATTGTAACATGCCTATCCAAGTACTCACATATTATTTGATCGTGTTTGAGGAACCTGTTCTGTATAGATCTCAAGCAGAGAGTTTCCTAGGCCCTTCTCCTTCCTCTCCCCACGAGCTAGCCCTCCATTTCCTTTCCGTGAGAAGTTGAAAAATTAAAAAGTTAAAAAGTTCTATCTTCTCACCATGGCTCATTAGAATTAACTACCTTGTTTTTTCAATGGGTCTGTATCCTCTTCGGCTTTTGTTTTACTTCTAACATGCCCCCAAGCCTCCTTGTTGCTTTTGGTGCATTTCAAAATATATGCTGCTTGGTTGTTGTTTTTCAAAAAAAGAGCTGTGGTGGCGCAGTGGTTAGTATGCAGTATTGCAGGATAATTCTGCTGACTGCCGACTGTCAGCAGTTCGGCAGTTGGAGTCTCACTGGCTCAAGATTGACTCCATCCTTCCAAGGTCAGTAAGGATCCAGATTGTTGGGGGGTACCATGCTGACTCTGTAAACTGCTTAGAGAGGGCTGTATAGCACTGTGAAGCGATATATAAGCCTAAGTGCTATTGCTATTGGTATTAAATGGTTCTTCATAAATTACTTCTATTTTTTGGTTTTAGATCTACAGAATTAGACTCAAACTGGTCATGGTTTCAGTTGAGGTGCATGCAAGTTGGAGGAAATGCAAATGCTGTAAGTACATTGAAACGTGCTTGGTTTTTTCCCCTGGTTTCTAGGAATCAGTAATTATTAACTGATTTATCAGGATTCTATGCATATTACGAATTACATTTCATGCATTTTCCATCCTTCAATATAACTGCCAGATATGCCTTCACAATCTTGAAAACCAGAGAAATAAATGAATAAGATAGTTCTGGCTTCTTATTCAATTTGTTTCTTTGACTTTCAAGATTGCTCCACTCAATTGCCTGTTAGTTGCTCTGAGCATCTCTTGTACTTATATAAAAGGATAGAAAATATACAAAATGTAACTCATAAAAATCTTAGTATGCATAGGACCCTGATAAATGAATAGACATTTTAGAAAACAATGGGAGTTGATCATGTCTAAATCCCACTGGTTTCAGGAAATCTACCTTTAAGCCAAATGAAAGATGAGATATTCAGTTACTGCACCAGAATAATCCAGGCAGTAGTTTTTCCCATGACATTTTATATTAGCAAAGAAACTGGGTATGTCTAGTTCAATGAAAAGAAGGACTAGGAATGATATGATAGCAGTGTTCCAATATCTCAGGGGCTTCCAGAAAGAAGAGGGAGTCAAGCTTTTCTCCAAAGCACCAGAAGGCAGGCTAAGAAGCAATGGGTGGAAACTAATCAAAGAGAGAAGCAATCGAGAACTAAGGAGAAATTTCCCGACAGAACAATTAATCTGTGGAACAACTTGCCTCCAGAAGTTGTAAATGCTCCAGCACTGGAAATTTTAAAGAAGATATTAGATAACCATTTGTCTGAAATGGTGTAGGGTTTCCTGCCTGAGTACGAGGTTGGACTAGAAGACTCCAAAGTACCTATTCTAGTCTAGTCTAGTCTATTCTTTAAAACAGTCTTGATGAAGTAGACTCCTGAGATACCAAGGATAGCCAAGAAAATAATGAATTGGATTATAGAATAAATCAACCCAGAATTCTTAAGACACCAATGACCAGGCTCAAAATTACAGGTTGTCCTCGACTTAAATTTTTCAGTGAGTATTCAAAGTTACAGTGGCACTGAAAAAAGTGACTTATGACCATTTATCACACTTACGGCCATTGCAGCATTTCCATGGTCACATGATCAAATGCTTGGCAACTGACTCATATTTATAACAGTTGCAGTGTCCTGGGGTCATAATCACCTCCTATGGTTACCTAATTGCCATTTGCAATCTTCATTGCTGGCCTTCCATAAATAAGCAAAGTCAGTGAAGAAGCTGGCAGATCACAATGGCAATCATATGATGTCATGTTAGGTAAATGCAGCATTTACCTAACAATCACAATTAGAGCTACTGCTGTAAATCAGATAAGAAAAGCAAGGTTTTACACCTAGGTAGGAAAAACCAAAGATACAAGTACAGATTAGGCGAAACCTGGATCAAGATGAAACCTGGTGAGATGGACCTTGGAATACTAGTGGACAATCACTTGAATATCAGCCACCAGTTTGTAGCAACAGCCAAAAAAGCTAGTACATGCAAAACTTAATCATTGTCTATAAGAAATAAAGACGTATGGATAGTGAACATGGCAGTACCTGGAGGCAGCAGAAGAGAAGAGAAGGAACTGGAAAAAATAACAAAAATGAGCTGGCAGACATGATTTTGGAACCACTGGACAATATATTTCAAAAATCCTAGACCACTGGGGAAATTACCATAGGATTGGAAAAGAGTTGATGTGGTTCCAATCTTCAAAAAGGGCAAAGTGGACCCAGGAAACTAGAGACCAATTAGCCTGACATCAATACCTGGGGAGATCCTGGAAAAGAAAATCAAGCAGCTGATTTGTGGGCACCTAGAAATGAAAAAGCTGATTATTAGAAGTCAGCACGAATTCTTAAAAGCAGGTCATGCCAAACAAACCATATTGCTTTCTTTGATAAAATAACTAAATTAACGAACCGAGGAAATGTGGATATAGTATACTTGGACTTCAGTAAAGCAT